TAGATGTTACTTTCTTCTTTGGATGAAGTTTTCAATACTTATTCAAACAAAAAAAGTTTATCTTTTAATACAATAAAACTATGATATTGTACAAGGTGGTTTTTTTTTTAAACAAAATCAATACAAAGCACTACTAGCCAAAAAAAGAATATCTTGTTCTAAAGTTGCATACATTTCATTTGTAACATATGAGAATAATGTTACATTATGTTGTTTGATATCATTTTCTTTTTGAGGAGTACTGAAATTTGAGAATGTTAGTGTTGAAAAATTCTAATTTGATATTAATGTTCTTATAAGGTCTTTATTTGTCATTCTACCAATAAATCATTGCATGTATATAATTTTGAAAGCATTCATTGAATGAAACTTTCAGAGTCATCATAAGTTTATAAGTCAATTAGCTTATCTTATGCGACAATATATTATCATGAGTACATATTTCAAAAAATTTTCTCCATAAATGAAAATAAAAGTTCTGCCTAAAAAAATAAAATAAGATAAATCATTTTTGAAAGATGGATTTAAGGGTATAAGAAATCTTGGTGAATCTTATTAAAATAGTTTCCACTGAATTATTTCTGAAATTATTTTCATAAATTAAAAAAATAAAAATCTACATTAAAAATCATTTTATTAAAAATGATAATAAATATTTTCCTTTAAATAAAAAAGATCTCAACCAAGAGGTACACTTTTACTCAAATTATGTAAGCTTTGATTTCTCATCAAAAGGGTACATAAGCCATGGTGTTTCATTTTACATCAAGTCCAATTTATAAATAAATAATTTTTTTTCTTTTATTTTTCTTGTCTTTTTTATCAAGGGCAATAAAGATATTTTTTTAAAGTCATATAAATTTATATAATTAACTTAGGGTAACTATTCATATAAGTGAGTATTGTGACATGTCTAATACCTTTCCCATACACAATTAACTCTTGTACCCTTTTCCTCTATATATGGATCACATGTTGAAGAGGTTTTTAAAATTACCTTTTAAAATTTTGATGGCAACTCCTATATATTCTTATTGAATTTTTCTTTTTAAAAAATTCTGGATTGAGCATGACAGGTGGAATTGGTAAAATTGAAGTATGAAGACAAATGTGAGTAAATCTTTTGTTCAAAATGTACCTTGGGATAACCTCTATGCTTTCATAGGTTGGAATATCTAGATTGATAGGTGTAGATGTGTTTTTCATGAGGGAGAAGGTTGGGTGGGGGAAGAACCTAACAGCACTTTTGTCAAAGAAGTTGCTTATTTGCATTTAAAATCACAACTACCTTCACATGATGCAAATTATTCTTGTATGTTCTTGCTCCATTTTTCTAGCGGACGCAAACACAGTTTAATTCAGATTTGGATTTTCAATTTAAAATCTCTATATGTTCATACATTGTGCAAACAAAGATTGAAATACTACTTTCATCCAAATTTTTAAAATACCTTCAGACAAAATTACATATATCAACATTAAATATACTTTATAACCTTACTTTCTTCCAAACAAAAAATATCAAACTTCTAAAAATTCCATTCATTTAACAATTTATTTGTGAAAAATATCAAAAAGAAAGAATATATGGGAAGGGTAATATTAGAAAAATATCATTACTAAAATCTTATTTTTATTAAATTATTTTATATTTTGAAATACTGAATATTTTTTAAAATTATTTTATAAAGTGGGATAGAGGAAATAGTAAATACCTTTGAAGTAAGATAGTGAAAACATGGGAAATGAATGAAAGGACAATATATAAATCTCATAGCATTAATACTTTTATCTTATTTGAGGCAAAAAAAAAAAATCCCTCCTTCTATATTTATTTTATTGTTAAGAAAACTAGATTGATAATTGAGAACCTGTACCTTATCCAGTCCGACACACACAAATAACAAAATTAAATAAGAACTAGCTTCAGATTGGTAAACCGATTAAAAACTAGTGCACCAGGTCAACTAGAAATAAAAAGATATTGAAAAACACTTAACTCAAGAAAAAAAAAAGTGCAAGAAAAAAATAATTTCAAAAACTATACTGCTAGTCCACTATTCACATTAGGTTGTGTTTGAATTTCTGTTGAGTATAGTTGATTATAAAAAAATTAATTAATATGATTGATTTGGAATGTAATTGATTATGTTATGTAATTGATTTATAAAATTAATTAATAAGATTGATTTTAATCAAAGCTGAGAAGTGGAACTGAAAATAAGGTAAAATCATAATTTTATAAAAATATATTCAAACACCTATGTTGCATGTTAAAATCAATTATAAATTCAAAATTATGTTTTCAAAAAAAAATTTTAATACCCATTATACAAGCTAAAATCAATTATAAAATCAAAATCATGATTTTCTTAAAAATATCCAAACATCCCATACATGCTAAAGTTAATTATGAACCCAAAACCATAGTTATTTCATAAGCCACTACTACCTACTTTTCAATTCAATTTTTAAATTATACATTTTATAAAAATTTATCCAAAAATCATATAACTTATTTTACAAATCATATTTTTTGTTCATAATTGATTTTGACATAATAAGAGGTGTTTGAATATTTTTAAGAAAATTATGGTTTTAGATTCATAATTAATTTTAGCATGTATAATGAGTGTTTGGATATTTTTTAAAAAAATATAATTTTAAATTCATAATTAATTTTAACATGTAACATAGGTGTTTGGTTAATTTTTGCCAAAATATGGTTTCTGTACAATTAATTGATTTTGAACGCAAATCCAAACGGGCAACAAGTTGTCACCCAAAAGCATTGTTGCAATTTCTCCAACCTTTAGGAAAACATTAATCAAGAACTGCTACAAAAAATTCATATTAGTTAATAATAATTTGTTGTCAAATCAGAATAGATACTTGTTGATTTAAGTTAGTCTTTTATTAACACGTATCTATTCGAGTTTTAATAACAACTTATTCTAAATTAACAATAGCACATTCAGATTTTTTTCATTTGAATTTTGATAACTAATCTTTGACTGATATAAAATTCTTTTAGCAGGCCTTCTCATTGCTATTTTACCATATCCTTTCCTACGAGTCTACTTTCTTTTTTCTTTTTTTAAATTTTCTTCTCATCTTTTGTTCATTTTTTGTGTCAGCTCCTTCTACTTAATTTTTCATATGCATGAACATCTCTTTTATCTCTATTTCTGGCTATGTATCTATATTTTTATTTCATATGTTATCATTTTAATTTAGTTATAATTTGCCTCTCGAAAGTGCTTAATGACTAACCTTAAAAATAAGCATGCATCCCTTTTATTCCTTTTTTAATGGATTTTTTAACTTATTTACTTACATATAAACATCTTGTTCATCTATATTCATCCAAATACTTATTTCATATCTTTTCAAGCAAATTTAGATCTTGTGTCCTTAAAAAAAATGTGATCACCATCTCTAAACAAATTAACAATTATTTTGAATCTCTAAAAAATAATAAAATTAATTTATACTTCTCTATAATATTTTAAATATATTAATTTAATTACAAATGGTTCAATCACGATGTAACTTCAATCTGACTATTGAACCGTGAACTAGTGTCTTAATTGATTCAATGATTGATCCAGTTCTCATAACATTGATTTATTTATAAATTATATTTAACTAATTCATGCAAGTCAAGGAAGTTAAAGTATTTAATTGTCTTGAAATTACTCCATTTTTTCATAAATACCCTTGATTAAATGCAAATTCTTTTGTCAACTTTCTCAATTCCTCTTTTCGCCATAATTACCTTACTAATATCCACACCAAAGGCCCAAATAGAAAAAATATTAGTTATTTTATAAATTTTACAAAATCAATTATAAATAAAATAAAAATCTTTTAAAAAGTGGCTTGTAAATTGTAGTACAGTAGATAAAGCCTTTTTTTTTTCCTTTTTTATTTGGATTAGAGAGCAAAAATACCCAACCGTATTTTCTTCAAAAGCATCCAGTATCTGTAAGTGAACAAAGGTATGAAAATATCCATGAATTTATTATAATAAGTGCAACAATCCCTATTTTGTTAAAATTGACTAACATCACATAAGGTGTAAAAACACCCAGAAACTTTTTTTTAGGAGTTTTATGTATCCTAAAGCTAACAATAATGCATAAGTAACGATTAAGTTTGTAAAAAAGGTCATATTGTCAAGTTCAACCTTAACAACTTAGTCTTTTAGACATCTTCAGATTGGCCTGAATTGTTGAATTGTTGAATATTATTTTATTTTATATTTTCTATTTTACTCAATTTTAACTTTTATCTTAAAAATAAATATTTTGAATTTTTATCTTAAAAATTAATATTTTCAATTTTTATGTAATTTTCATTTCATTTTATTAATTAATGATTAAAAAGAGAAACCTCCAAGAATCCTCTTTCCCAACACATCCTCCTCCTATTAATGTTTGTATTTGGTGCTTGTTCCTAGTATAGCCATGGAATGCTTATCTCATCTAAATCATTGAAATTCAAATTAGTTTAGATAAATTCACTCATTCATTAATATTTAGTGAAATATGAATTAAGAATTCTTGATTTAAATTTTAATAGTTTAGAAGAGGCAAGCACTGAGTTCGTATACTAGAGATATCCACCGAATCCAAACCCCCTCCCACTCTTCCCTTCTTGCTTTCAACCAAACCCACCGTTTCATTTCATTAACTGTGTGTTTGACAAAAGCATTCAGCGCAAGAACAGTTTCATTACGTCTTCTATTCTCTATCTCTTCTCTCTCTCTCTCTCTACATGCATGCGTACATACATACATACATATATATATATATATATATATGTATGTATCATATTCTGCATCTCAACGTCCTCCTTAGCCCTAAGCAAGTACCCACCAAGTCCCCACCACCACCAATCCACCACGCGCTGCCCATTCCTCCTCCTCCGGGGCCGCGCTCGAGTCTATTGTTCCCTAAACCTCATTACCACCACCACCACCAAGTTGAACTCTTAAGCTACACAATTAGTGATGGAACAACCTCATCAGCTTGTGTCCCCAAAACCAGTGGTTGTTAGTAGTACCGCTAACCATCCTTTGGCTAATGATCCGAGTTTACAATCAACGAGGTCGCATCGAGCTTGGGTTGCAGCCGGGTGCACCACTGTGATTGTTTCATTGGCAAAGTGCATTAGTCAAGCAACCATCATGGAAGTTTGGTTCGAACCGATCTTGGCCGGTTGGGTCGGCTATATGTTGGCCGATCTAGGCTCTGGGGTTTACCATTGGGCTATTGATAATTATGGAGATGAGTCCACACCTGTCTTTGGTCCTCAAATTGATGCTTTTAAACGTCACCATAAATGGCCACTGACCATAACAAGACATCAATTTGCCAACATCTTGCATGTATCGGCTTGTGGGGTTACACTTACAGTGTTGCCTATTGTACTTGTTTGCAATGACCTAAAACTTCTTGGGTTTGTTGGAGTGTGTTCGGCTTGCATTATGTTTAGCTTGCAGATTCATGCCTGGGCCCACCGGACGAAGAGCCGGCTTCCGCGGCTTGTCGTGGCATTACAAGATGCCGGAGTGCTAGTATCACAGTCGAAGCATGCCGGACACCACCGGCCGCCGTATAACAGTAATTATTGCATTCTGAGTGGAGCCTGGAATGAGTTTCTGGATAAGCATAAGGTGTTTGAAGTATTGGAGAAAATAGTGTATTCCAAACTTGGGGTCAGACCACGGTTTTGGAGTGAACCCAGTTCTGAGTGGATGGAGGAGATAGAAAAATCATGGTTAAATTATCTCTTTTGATTTTCTTCACCTAATTACCTTTTTTTTTACTTAAATTATTTTTTGACAAGATTCAACTCTTGTTTTTCTTTTTCTTTTTCTTTTTCTTCTTTTATCATATTTGTTTTTCACCCGTGATTTCTTGTGTCTTTTTTATTTCAAAAAGAATTTGGATATTCTGCAGAAATATCTCTTTCAAATTTTTCTCTTATTTAATTTATTCTATTTTCTATTTTGAGATTTCTATTTGTTCTTTAATTTTTTTATAATGTATTTCTTTATTTCTACCTCTTCTATTTCTCCTTCAGGTTCACTATTCCTATTTGGTTGTAAACTGAGACTCTTAAGACTTATCTTATTCTTCTTTTTTGACTTAGATCCTAATATCTTATCGAACCATCTCATATTTTTATTTCTACAAGTTTTATTTTCTATTTATATTGTTCTTTCTAGGCTTAATAGGAACACTACTGTCTAACTTTCCTATTCTTTCACAATATTTTTGAATATTATATTTTTTGAATATTCTCTGTTTGTTACTAAACTTACTTGGCAATATCATTTTTTTATAAGTTATATGTGATATTCTGTTCATGTATCTTTGTTGATTTATTTCAAAAGGGGTGTTATCTCTTTCATTTTCTATATTTTCTTTTGCTTTTATTTTACTAGTTATAACGAAGAACAAAAAATTATACTATTTTAACATATGGACAAATAATTAATATTATAAATATCACAGGATTAAAGTTATGCAATGAAATAAAAATGTAAAAAGAAATACATAGTGATACAAAACAAGAAAAAACTAGAGTTAGGAAAATACTAGCCCTTGTAGGAAAAATAAAAAAGAAATTATATATAATATTCTTATAAAAGATATATGAGACATAAAAAATATTTCCTGAAAAAACATAGAAAACCTTTAGAAAAGATAATTTTAAAAAAGATAAAATAGAAATAGTTTGTTATAAATGTGAAAGATTTGGCCATTTTTATAATTTTGTTTAAAAAATTATGTTGTAAATTTCAGTAGCGACATACAAGTTGCCGCTGATTGTCAGCATTTTTATAATTTTTTTAAAAAATTATATTGTAAGTTTCAATGGCGACATACAAGTTGCCGCTGAAAGTCGAGAATCAGCGGTGACTTTTTAGTGTCGCCGCTGATGTCAGCATTTTATAATTTTTTTTAAAAAATTATGTTGTAAGTTTCAATGGCGACATATAAGTTGCAGCTGAAAGTCGATAATCAGCGGCGACTTTTTAGTGTCGTCGCTGAAAGTTTGATTTTGTATTATCATTATAATTTTTATTTTTATTTATCTAATATTTAACATTTTATGACATTAATTTTGTTGTATTATTGTAATTTTATAATGAATATATAAAATAACATAATGAGTTTTTATTTAATATATTCTATGGTTAAATTGTAACTTTAAGATAAGGTTAAGGTATTATTTAATGCTAATAAGCTAAAGTAAAGAATTAAGCCAAACCATATTTTTTACATATGTGTTTGTATTAAAAAATTTACAACTAAGGTTAAAATTCAACCGAGGTTAGCAAACTAAGATTAGAAGAAAAGTCAGTAAATGTAATATAATTTATGTTTGGATATCGTTTTTTTAGAAGTCTGTTAGATAAATTAAAATTTGTTTGGATAATTTTATTCAAAAGCCAATAAGATGTTTAATGGCCAAAATAAGTATAAAATTTTTAATATATATTTTTGACTAATTAATAACTAAAACAAATTAAATTTAATTATAACTAATAAGAAAAAAATTTAAATATTCAAGATAGAAGAGAAGAGAGAGAAAGCATAAGTCATCAGATCAATGTAGAAGTCAATAACACTGCTTGTTTATAATAATTAAATATGTGATACTTAAATTTATTCATTCATAAAATGATATTTTATCTAATCTAATTTTTTAATTTAAATTCTACATTTAACACCAATAACTTTAAAGCTTGATGCAAGTTTAGAAACATAAGTAATTATAAACTAATGTATAATCATCAGTATTTTTACTATTTATTCTTAGATATTTTTATATTATAATTATAAATATGAATATTAAAATAAATAATATAACAACCTCAAGAAGTAAAAAAATTAAATAAATAATACAAATTATATTGTATCAATTATATTTATAGTTTACTTTAAACAAAATAAATAATATAATTTGTAATTTTATAAATTAAAAGAATTAAATTGAAGTATTTAAGGATAGTAATAATATTTTATAATATTTAATATTTAATGTGTGTGTGTGTGTATTTAATTATGCAATAATAGACTACAGGGTCATTCCAACTCAGTGGCAAAATGGTTGGACACAAAAGGATACATTGTGACATGATGACACGTGGCGTGTGGTGAGAGCGATACATGGAGAGTGATATGGTACCACGTGGCGTGAGGTAAGGGCGACACGTAGAGGATGACATGGTGCCACGTATTGCGAGGTTGGGGCCTTATGTGGAGGGTGACATGCCGCCACATGGCATGTGGTGAGAGCGACACATGGAGAGTGACATGGTTCCACGTGGCATGAGGTGAGAGCGACATATGGAGGATGACATGGCGCCACGTGGCATGAGGTGGGGTACTACATGGACGGTGACGTGGTGCCATATGTGTAAGTGAATCAACATTACTTTTCAGCAGCAACTTTTTTGTCGTCGCTAATTGGTAGCTTCCGCAATGACAAATGTCACCATTAATACTTAACATTCAGCGGCGACAAAAATAGTCACCGCTGATGTGTGGTTTTTGTGGTGACAAAATGTCACCGTCGATTTTCAACTTTTAGTAGCGACTATTATTTGGCTGCAACAAATTTTCTTTTCTGCGGCGACATTTATCACCACCGATTCTCAACTTTCAGTGGCGACTTTTTTGACGTCACAGATTAAATTAGCGACAAGAGCTCTCGCGGCGACATTGTGGCAACTTTTTGTCACTGCTGAAAACTTTCAGCTATGACTTTTTGACTTTCAACGGTGACAAATGTCGCCGTAGATTCTCATCTTTCAGCGGTAACTTTTATTGTCACCGCAAATTGAATCAGCGACAGGAGCTCTCGCAGTGACATTTTGGCAACTTTTTGTCACCACTAAAAGTTTTCAGCGGCAACTTTTTGACTTTTAATAGCAACAATTGTCGCCGCTAAAAGTTAGTTTTTTTGTAGTGAAAATCCTGGTATCATAATTAAATTTGGAGATACATGATGTGTAACAGCCCTCACCCCACCCTACCAGGGGTCTTTTGGAGCCTTCCCAAATTCGAACCTCCAACCTCTACCACTTTAAGGAAGTTGAGGCTAAGTCTGGTACATGAAAGTTGAGGCTAAGTCTGGTACCATTGAGTCAACTTGACTCAATGGTACCAGACTTAGCCTCAACTTCTTTAAGGTGGTAGAGGTTGGAGGTTCAAGTCTGGGAAGGCTTCAAAAGACCCCCGGTGGGGTGGGGTGGGGTGAGGGCTGTTACATAAAAGGTGCCTTTTTTGTAACAGCCCTCACCCCACCCTCCCAGGAGTCTTTTAGACTGGGCCCATCTACATCACTGCAGCGGAGGTCGGCTTTCCCAAGGTGGTACTTGGGTTATTCCTCACCCCACCAAAGAGGTCTTTTGCAGAAGATGTGAATGGTTTGCCACTAGAGAGAGAAGTTGAATTCTCAATTGATTTAGCTCTAGTATCAAGCTAATCTCAAAGGCTCCATATCGAGTGGCCCCTACATAATTAGAAGAGTTAAAGAAGCAACTAGAAGACTTGTTAGCTAAGGGCTTCATAAGACCGAGTGTATCACCATGGGGATCACCAGTTCTCTTTGTGAAAAATAAAGATAAGAGTATGGCGATTGTGTATCGACTACCGCCAGCTTAATAAGGTGACAATCAAAAACAAATATCCGTTGCCATGGATTGATGATCTCTTAGATTAGTTGGCTGGAGCGGTGGTATCTCAAAGATTGACTTCAAGTCTAAGTATCATCAGTTGAGGGTAAAGGTAGAGGATGTACCTAAGACAGCTTTTAGAATAAGGTATGGGCACTATGAATTCCTAGTTATGCCATTTGGGCTAATAAATGCACTAGCGATATTCATGGACTATATGAATAGAATCTTCAGGCTGTACCTAGATAAGTTTGTTGTTGTCTTTATTGATAATATTCTGATCTACTCAAAGAGTGAAACAGAGCATGAAGAGCATTTGAGATTAGTGCTACAAATTCTGAAAGGGAGGCAACTTTATGCCAAGTTGAGTAAATGTGAGTTTTGGCTTAATGAAGTAAAGTTTCTAGGGCATGTTGTTTCTGAGGAAGGTATTGTAGTTGATCCTCACAAGGTCGATGCAGTGTTGAACATGGGAACGACCGACCTCAGTATCAGAAATCAGAAGTTTCTTGGGGTTGGCTGGCTATTACAGGAGGTTTATTGACGGGTTTTCTCAATAGCATCAGCATTGACTAAATTGACCAGGAAAGACACAACCTTTTTTTGGACCAAAGAGGTAGCGAGGCTTTATCACTTGAGAAAGAAGTTGATGACTGCACCAGTCTTAACATCCTGATCCTAAGCAATCATTTGATTGTTTGTATGATGCATCAATTAGGGTTCTTGGATGTGTCCTCATGCAAGATGGCAAAGTTGTAGCCTATGCATCGAGCCAATTGAGGCCTCACGAACTTGAAACTACCTCACTCACGATCTAGAGAGCAGCTGTTGTCTTCGCTCTTAAGATTTGGAGACATTACCTCTATGGTGCACGATTTGAAGTGTTAGTGATCATAAAAGTCTTAAATATTGGTAGACTAGAAGGAGCTGAATATGAGGCAAAGAAGATGGATGGAATTCCTAAAAGACTAGGTTTGAACTGAAGTACCATCCAGGGAAGGCCAATGTAGTGGCCGATGCCTTGAGCAGAAAGACCGTGCATGTAGCTTGTATGATGATTCATAAACAGAAGTTATTAGAAGATTTCTCTAGTTTTTCATAAAATA